CGAAGAAATAAACGCTTTTGACGAGCTCTTTGGTTATTTATTGAACTACATGACTCGACGCTGATTATATAACATACGGTTATTCGGGTCAAATAGGGGTTACGAAAAAATTCGTCAAAAATTCAATTCTAAGTTGCCCCAAAATATTATTTGATCAATGGCAAGCAAAACATATTTCTTTGACCTGGTTATGAATTTTTTGTCTGAATCGATGTAACAATGGAGAAATTTGCTGCCTAATATGACATATAATAAAGAGGTTCGAAAATAAAAAAACATTAAGAAAATCTGTAAAATATTCACTTTTTACAGAAATGTCTCTAAATTTCGTCTGTTAATCAATAAAAAACTCTAATTTATAAAACGAAATCATGTTTTGTGAAATATTCCCACTATCGTGCAAAATAGAGCGATTTTGGTTGTGCCGTAGAATGACCTCTAAAAACCGAAAGTGGCCTGGGAAAACCAATTTCGACGTCTCTCTTCTTCAATATTTATCCGATCGAAATAAAACTTTCACAACATTGATACTTCATATAGGCCTACATTCTGACAAAGTTTGAAGAATTTTGAATTTTCTCATTTTACACGCCTTACCTGACTATTACAGACAACCGCTCTTAACCTCTCTAATGAACTTTAAACTTCGCAGTCTTCGCTAATACTTTCCTTTCCCCGGGGGTAATTAGCCGGGTGGAATTAGTACCCTCGCCCCGGGCTTACGCCCGGAACGGCGCTCCGCGCCGTTGGCTTGAGGATTATTATACTATACAGGATGTGAGTATCAGAAAAAAGTAGACAATTTTGAAACTGCTCTCAATACACCCTTTCGATAATTACGTCATTTGGCCTGGGAGCCTCGCTCTGATGAATCGTGAGCCAATCATCTTGCGTGATATACTGATGAGAGCGATAGGAGCCCTGAGCTATAATATATCTGGAGGAAGTGCTCGGCATGAAACAGTGTCGCCAAAAACATGGCGATTTTCGGTCTGCTGACGCCAGAATGACGCCAGAATGATTTTGGCGAAACTCGTAATTCGTCATCAAATACTGACGCCATGGTCCTAGCCAGTGCGCGTTTGAGAGGCATTCACCCCCTTGATAATATTCAAAATGGCGGACGTCCAGGGGGGAATGCCTCTCAAACGCGCACTGGCTAGGACCATGGCGTCAGCATTTTGATGATGAATCATGGCGTGGCAGCGGTTACTCGAGTCGACCTTCTGTGTACCTTATTCTGTGTCCTCGTGGTAATTACAACTGACCAACCGCGATTCTCAGCTTCAGACGAGATTTCACCCCCTGGTTTTTGCACAAAAAAGCTGAAACTCTGCTGAAATTTATATAAAAAACATCAAGAAAAAATGCCGAGTTTTTACATGGCTTCATGATGCCACAATTATTTAATATCAAGAAGAAACGCTTCTTTTTACTGGTAAGATGTATTAAACTATTTTTCTGTGCTTCGTTTGTACTATAAAATACATACCGGTTTTTAAAAGAAAAATTGGATACAAAATTTACAAATATATAAACGACGCTCTAGAGCAGCTGGTGTTTTTCTGCCTTTATCACGTCACGGCGTGCGGATATTGTTGGGCTACCTATGCTTTATCACTTTTCTTTGTGTTTTATTTTGCTATTTCGGCAGGTTATAGTTGGGTTTTTTTCAAAAATCCTTTCCCAAAGATCCAACATCAATTTTCACATACAGTATTAGTAAAATAAATGCCTTGAAAAATAATGGACAAATGGTGTCAAGTCCCAACTTATCCTAGGGTTTTAAGTATTATATTGTCATAGGAGGCCCAATATATGGTTGTAATGGGCACAAAAAAGCTAGGTAAAAACTGTTCCTAACAAGTGTCTCTGTATGAGTAAGTGTTGAATAAAAGTTTGCAAGTCACACCACAATTTTGAGTTGTGATTTTAATAGACACTTTAATTTTTTTCTTGGCTAACATAGAAGAGTGGACCCGGGCCAATAGATAGTAATTGTACAAGTAAAGTTCATAGTTCATATATAAAAAGTCCAGCAAATAATAGACATGAATTTTTCTTGAGTGAACATGAATTTATGGATAGTACATAGAAGTAGGTAAAGGTCAATGGGTGGGAAGGGATGCCCATTTCACAACACTCTAATTTCTATATTTTAATACTTGAAAGGAAAAAATAATATGTTCAGTAGCATGTAGACCAAATTATATAGATAATATAGTATGTGACTGATTGGATGTATTCTCTGACACTTTTCCAGATGCCAAAAAAAATCCTGAGATGTGTAGAAAACTTATTTTATGTTATTTTATGAAAAGTTAAATTTTATGCCACAAAGGGGAATCACCTTTGTTTGAAGCAATTACTGTAGTATAATATTGCACTTAACCCATCGAGTGGCATGCAGCACTCTCCACTTGACGAGTAAAATCGCCTGGCATTAGACAGAGTAAAATACTAAAGTAGGGTGCATTGCCACTTAAGGATTTAACTCGATCAATGAGCACCAGCTCCCTAGTATTCTTCATATAAAGAATACTAATAAGGCAGTATCTATTGTTGTCGTGTCCTCATTAGTATTTTTTTTATATAAAGAATACTAATAACGCGGTATATCTATTGAATTTGTAGTCGTATTTGAAACCGTTTAATAAACTCGCAGGTCGTGTTTTCAGTCTAAAGCCACTCGCACTGCGCGCTCGTGACTTTAAACCTAATAAAACACTCCTGCTCGTTTATTAAACAGTACATAAACCATATACTGGTCAGCCCATAGAGTGGAAGAGCTCTACCCTTGCACTGATAATTTTCTCTGGCATTTGACAGGAAAATTATATGGTGCATTGCCACTAATCAAAAGGGATAATAGAGGCCCACAACAACTCTCTTGTTCTCTATGCAATATGCAAATTAGATAAATGCTTGAATTAAGCATGCATGAAAGGCATTAAAAGGCAAAAATTTTACGACATGAACGATTGAACGGAATTGTGATTATAACAATTTATCGCGCAAGAAATAAATTTATCGCGCTGTAGATATATCTATTGCGCAATAAATCGATTTATCGCGTAGTAGATATATCTATCGCGCAATAATGGATTTATTGCGCAATAAATAATGGTAATTGAACTGAGTGGAGTGCAATTTGGACTGAATTGATTTCAGTCCAAAATTGCACGACACGAAATTCAATTTCCATTTTATTATATTCATTTTGAAATCTTAAATCTTTTTTATACCGGTAACGTTTTTGTTTGCAAAAGACACACCTCCGGCACCTCCCTGAGTGCTGTAGCATAGCAACAGTAAGCGAACAAGATGAAAAGTTTTGTAAGTTTTGTTTACAAATACGTTCATATACTGCAAAAAATGCCAAAAATCTTAAAGAAATGAAGACATTTATAAAGAATAAGAGACAACGCAAGTAAGTTTAAACATATTGTAGGTCTTACGAGTGATTGAAAGAGTTTTGGTGCAGTTTTGTGCGTTTAAAATTGGAAATATATTACAATAGGCGAATTTTATACCTTTGTTTTCCCGGAGTTCTGTCTGTCCTGACGCTTTAAATTTGCTTTTGTTGGCATTTTTGCCAGTTACTATTTGTGAAATTTCAAAAGAATTAAAATTCTTTGCAATTCTTTGATAGTTTACTGTAGCTATCCATATTTTTTTGTTTTTATGTGCAAAAAATTGCTTAGGCACTCAAGAGTATTAAATCGTGACATGTAAATTTTTTGTTTTTGCTCATTTGCCATATCACATTTTTCTTAAAATTCATTGGCTGTTTGAATCCTATGATTAAATATGATTGGTTGGTTGAAGTCAGCACTCTTAATGTGATTGGTTGAAAGAAGGTGCGATTTCAGCACGAATCGCACTGCTAGGAGTGCGATTCGTGCTGAAATCGCACACTGTGAACTAATCAGATTGCAGGAAACACCATTGATTTCAAAATGAATATAATAAATAGATTTATCGCGCAATAAATGATTTATCGCGCAATAACAAAAATTATGGCATGTGCTAAAACCTGGACGATGGACTGGACGATGGACGATGGACTGGACGATGGACGTCCATCGTCCAGGTTTTAGCATTTGTGCTAAAACCTGGACAATGGACGATTTTTATTTAGCTACAGCCGTTTCAACAAATTCAGTCTCCGGCTATCACTTTGTCACTATGCCAGGCCTTAAAATATCCAGTTTTACAGGGCCGTCTGACAAAATGTCCGATGAGGTTGAGTTTGGGTCGGACATATGTCCGATGACCTTTCGAGGAAAGTTTTCTTTCGAATTAATCTCGGACTCTCAAGATTGACTTTTTGCTGCGCCTTATCTCTGGTTTTATGCGCCCAATAAGGACAAAAATACCACCGTTCGATTTAGCGTACGAAATTGTACTTACGGATGTCAACTGTATTACTAAACAAAAGAATTCTAGCGATTTATGGCCTTTGGAAGTCAAGCGTGATTGCATTGACAAATCGCTCAAAATTATTAAACTAATTAAAAATGCAGTACGTTCGATTCTTGGTCACTTTGGTATCGTTGGTTTTCTCGTTTTCAGTCGTATACCAGTCGATACGACTAATTTTTCTCGTCATTTTGATAGTATTTTGAGCCCAAACTATTTTATTTTGAAGGTTTTAAAGTGCAGTTTTAATTAGCGAAATTATATTGTTGACAAATCGCTCAAAATTATTAACACTGATTAAAAATGCAGTACGTTTGATATAATATTGGTATACCAGTATGTTCATCACACTTTTCTCTTCATTTTGATAGTATTTCATGTGCTAAAACCTGGACGATGGACGTCCATCGTCCAGGTTTTAGCACATGCCAAAAATTATCGCGCAATAACGAAAATTATCGCTCAATAAATAAAATTATGGCACAATAAAATATTTGCGGTGTAGTGTCCCTCACAGTGCTCTGTATATGCCCATATCAAGCACACCGCATGCTCATCCGTGCTTCTTTTTTCAATAGGTACATCGTTTTCTGAAGTAGAAAATTTGAAACTCAATATCGTTAGTGCTGCATATGGTCTTTCTGATGTCACTGCCCGCGCACAGAAACTCGTGACTGCCGACGAAGAGTTCAATGAAATGGCGAGCAATGAAGTTTGGGGGGAAGGCTTTCCTGGAAAAGATAAGACGCTTGTGGTTGTTTATACATACAGCAATATGTACATGGTCGACATAGCTATCAGTGGCCAGAGAATGCATTTCATTGTTTCACCACCATTACGCATACTCGGTGCAGCGTATGGCGTCGAAAACGTGTCTGAGAAAGTGCAGGCTTTGGTAAAGAATCGATCCCTTTCAATAACAGTTAAAAATAGCACATTTGGAGATGGCTGGTGTGGGAATAAGAAAACATTGGTCGTAGTTTATCAATATGGCGACGAGACGCCGTTAGTTGCTACAGCCATAGAGGATGAGCAACTTGAATTTCGATACACAAAAAGTCCTGAGTTTAGTAGCAGTGAAAATGCTTCCACCCTCACAATCTTGGGGGCAGCATATGGGCCACGAGACGTCACAAAAATGGTTCAGAGTCATGTCAAAGGCACCACACTCGAAGTTACAGCCAACAACGATACCTTCGGCACTGACCCATGGAAGCGACACAAAAAGACCCTGGTAGTAGTATATCGCTATGGGTGTAATGAACCAGAAGTACGAGTAATTAAAGAACGGCGAAGCATTTACTTGCAGCAGTAACTTTTTGCACTGCTCTATGTGACTTCAATTAATTCTACGAACTTCATTTTTAATTTGAAATTGCACTTGATGAAAGGTTCAGATTAACAAATATAACTTAAACAGACTATAAACGCTGCACTGCTGGACAGCACTATCTAACTCATTTATCTAACACTATACTGACTGTAAGTTTGCTCTCAATCGTTCATGTATTAGAAATATTTTAGTAATAAGTTTTACAAATGTATTTGGATCAACAATGTATTGAATATACGTTATCATCAGAAATGCCTTGTTTATCAAAGATCCCAAAAGTATGAACGGGAAATATGTCTGAGAAATCCGCACAACAAGTTCATATATATATATTATATATATAGTAGAGAGTGAGATACTGAGAAAGACACAGTGACATATTTTCCATATTTTTACTATTGAAGATATCGATCACGTGACTTTTAGTATTTATACATTTTTTTGCTTGGCACTATATAATAAACACAACATTACACTGTGGCTCGAAGATATTAATTTTATCTTTTCGTGTTAAAACAATATTCGTCCGGTGCCAATTAGACCAGGTCTGGTTAGACCTGGTTTTTTGGAGGTTTATATCTTTGGTTCAGTGCATGCTATGTAGATGAAAATAGCACTGTTCGATTCAGTATTAAATTTCCTATCGATAGAGTTAGTAAAATGTCAACATTTTAGCGATTTACGACCTTTACAGGCCAAGGGAGTTCATATTGAACAAATATATAAAACATTTTTCGTGTTGATATACAGTTATATCAACACGAGTGGAAATTGGGAAAACGAGAAATTGTGTGGAAACACGACGTCCGAAGGGCGGAGTGTTTTCACCATAGATATAGGAGATCTAGATTGCTAACGCACACCTAGCGCAGGTGGGGCCTACATGATAAATCCAAGATGGCGGTACAACAGGGCAAAAAAACTATAAATTGTATTACGAAAATTGGGATTTTTGCATTTTTTGCCGTCGCATTGTTTTGAAACTTATATTCGGTCAAATTTTATGGTAAAGAGAAACTTACCGCGAAGATTTTGAGCATATATATGATTGAATTGGATGAAAACTCGCAAAATTATCCAGCGATAAAAGTTCGTGTATAGTACTGATATAGTACTATATATGTAACTTGTACAGTTTTGCTTGAATTTTTGCTCACTATTTGCATAAAAAGCAAATTATAACAGACCATAGATGATAGACCCTCATCCAGTGCTCTCATCAGTTTACTTCTCTAACAAGCAAGGAGGGTACATAACAGTTCATTTTTCATAATTATGAGGACAGAGCAGATGATGATGAGAGATGCAAGTATAAAACACCATTCACAAGGCTAGATGTTAACATAGCACAGTATTTCTGGCAATAAAACGCTCCAACTGACCAACTGACCATTTCACACGAACTTTTATCGATGGATAATTTTGCGATTTTTCATCCAATTCAATCATATATATGCTCAAAATTTTCGCGGTAAGTTTCTCTTTACCATAAAATTTGACCGAATAAGTTTCAAAACAATGCGACGGCAAAAAATGCAAAAATCATGATTTTCGTAATAGAATCTATAGTCTTTTTGCCCTGTTGTACCGCCATCTTGGATTTATCATGTAGGCCCCGCCTGCGCTAGGTATGCGTTAGCAATCTAGATCTCCTATATCTATGGTTTTCACGCAATTTCGAGTTTTCCCAATTTCTACGAGTGTTGATACAACTCAACCTCGTTCCCAGGGCTTCAGTGTGAGGACGAGGCGAGACACGATGAAGCCCTGGTCTGGGCCGGTCAATTTTGCATTCTGATTGGCTAACACCATATTGTCTAAAAATAACTGAACTTGACAGTTGACAATAACAATTCAACATTTGTATTTTTATGATTCTTGTATGTACGAGTATGTCCCGACTGCATCATTTACTTACGTCTCGGCCGGTTACTAGAGAGTTTACGATTCACGACGCGACCAGTTCGGCGACGCGCTTGCAAGACAAAGAAACACGTCATGCGAGACAAAAGGGATGAATAATTTGTAGATTCAAATGTTTTGTCAACAGCGTTGCCATTCTTGGGACAC